CCGACCGCGCGTCCCGGGTGCCGGCGCCCGGCTGCCGCTCCGCCCGCCGCCTTCCTCCAGCGCTGCCGCTCTTCGAGGCGAGTTCTGCCCTGCAACTAGTTCTGGTGTTTCTGCCGCGCGCTCTTCACGGAACTTCAGCAAGGAGGCCGCTGTTTGCTCGGGACCGAGCAGCAAATGCCCCGTCACCCTTCTTCAGCCTGGCTTCAGAGCCAAGCAGATTCCCAGGTTCTCCAGCACCCTTCTCGGTCCTCCTGCTCTCGGCTGTCTCCCACCCCGCAGTATCCCCACTGAGCACGCCTTCGCTAGGCTCTTTCCTTCCTTCGCTTGGTGGAAACAATCATAGGAAGTTTTACTTGGAAGAAACTTGAAGCCGCCTACCTACGTGCAGCTCCGCCCGCTCCAGCGCTCCCAAGATGAAGAGCGCATTCTGTGGCCATGCAGCCTTTTCCAAGACGGAGCGGGCCTAACCTCCAGAAAAGTTCGTTCTTTCTTTAGGCAAAAGTCTACTCCCTGCAACTACCACTGCCCACTCCCACCCCCCCCCCACCCCGGACTGTCACATGTTGGAGGGATCTCTGGTCCTCATAGCCCTCTTAGATGTGGCTGAAGAGAGTTACACTCCCTAGGCTTTACCTTGTCTAGGGTAAACTCAATGCTCTCAAGGTTCCTGTATGATGTGATTTCAGACTCGACCATCCTGGTTCCCATTCCCTGTATCTAATGTTGCTCGTAAATCGTGGTTCTGAGAACTGCACAGCTCTCAGCACGTAACAGCTCCTGCAAACCCCTGCACTAAGACACGTGATCTAATTCCAGCTTGACTTCTAGCAGCATGAGGCCTGTCCCTAGGATGACCCCGACCCCTCCCCCACCCCCGTATTAAAATGCCTGCCCGAGAATGCTCAAGGCTGCAGGGAGAATTTACTATTTGTTCTAGCCAACACCTGATGATAGGCCTTGACCTCCCAAAGGGCTTACAGTTGTGAACATGTATCTCTCACAACTCAGAAGTGCCTCTCTGTCTCGAGGACCTGAGAGCCATTCCTGTGAATGTAGTCATCAGGAAGGACAGGGCCTCTCTCTCCCATCTCTGTGGGAGGACAGAATCCTGACTTCCATAGCTGCCAACCAGCAAATAGAGCTGTCCTAACCGCATTCATACTGACCAGCCCTTTGTAATTTTTCACTTCTCTGACTGCTCAGCCCCCATCTTCCCCCTCTCTTATTTTCCCTTTAAAACGTCCAAAGCACCTCTGCACAAACCGGAATGGAGCTCCCCTCTTTCTCCTGTCAGTAGTTACTAGATAAAATCTGTTTTCACCACTTTAATCCGGCTGTTTACCTTTGACACGTTTTATCACAAAGTTCCAGGAGTGAGTCAACCATTGAAGAGTACAACGTTGCCTATGCTCATTTAACTTTTTTAGCTATCATATCAAATAGAACTTCCAGATGTTTTTCACTTTAACCACCCTTAAGCCCAGGATACACCTATCTCATACTGAATTTTAAACCAGACTGCTAGGGGCTTCGGATATTTGTAAAATTAAATATTATGAGTTTGTGATCACAGTTGGGGTAGGCAGGCCATTTCAACTATATCACCCACTAGCTGTGAGACCTTGGAACTCTACCTCAGTTCCCTCAGATGAAAAAGGGAAACAATGTTGTCTGCTTAGGAAGGTTTCTGTAGGGATCAAATGACTTGGTGTAGATAAACACCTGGCCTGGTGCCTGGCATATATAGGTTTGCAACAAACGTTTGTCGCTCTCCGTCAATATGGTATCCCACACACACCTTGATGACATCACTGTTTATAATTGTAGCATACGTCCTTGCAAAGTTTTTACATGTAATCTAGATCAAATTTCTCCCAAAGTCATTAGGAAGAAAATTGAAATATTTAACTACAATAAATTTCAAAAGTCCACATGTTTAAAGATGCCACTAGTGAAACTAAAAGACAACAAACGGGAGGTGGAGGGAGAATATTTGCACATGTAACAGACAAGTGGTTGCCATATCTGTATCATATGAAGAACTACAAACCCATCAGTAAAAGGAAAACAAACCAGTAAAATGATGACCAAGGATATATAAGTACAAGCAAATTACAGAAGATATTCAAATGGCAAATAAACATTTGAAAAACACGACATCACTATCATTGGGAGACAAATTTGAACAATGAGATAAATTTACTTGCCATATTGCAAACTACTTTTAAATAATACAAATTTACATTTATTGAGCAATTATTTTGTTCCAGCCACTGTGTTGAAGTCTTTTATATTTTATTTAATTACCCTAAAATGCAGGCTCCAAGAGAATGTCGGGGGAAGAGGGAGAATCTCCCTCTGCCCTTTCCCTTAAGGTTCTTATGGCTGGCCAAATAATGAACAAGACAGGTTAGCAGGAGAAAATAATACCAAGTTTAATAACATGTATACATGGGAGAAACTCAGAAATGAGCAACTCGTCCCTCTGTCTAAGCTGCTTGCTTAAGTATTGCAGCTAAAGGTGAGGAGCGTGTTGGGGGTGGGTAGTGGCCTGGGACTTCA